CCGAACGAGGGCTTCGCGGGACTCACAGCTTCAGCCGCTCGTAGGCCGTGGCCGCCATGCTGGGCACCACCGGCCACCGCTACCTTCCTGCCTCTCGGCTCCGCCCGCCGCCCCTTCGCCCCGAGACGCCACCTCGGCTGCCCAGCCGCCACCGGTCACTGAGGCGCACGCAGCGGCGGCCGCCACGGGCGGGTTCTCCCCTCTTCCCCCCCCCACCCCGCCCTCTAGCGGAGCGGAGGACGAACGGAGAGGCGCCGCGGACGCGGAGGGTGACGTCAGACGCCGCGGTGAGGGGGCGTGGCGGGGGAAACGACGACGTTGGGGGGTGGGGGAGTAGGCGTGGCGCCGTGACGCGGCCGTCAAGGATTGGTTGGGAGGAGGAGGAGGTGGCGAGGGGAGGGGGGGGGAAACGTTGGAGCCTGCTGGAGACCGTCATGACGTTCACGCTGCGGATTGGCTGGGAGTGCGGAGGAGGCGGGGTGGCAGGGGGAGGAGAGAAAAGGAGAAGGCGGAGTTGCGGCAGGCCGGGTGGGCGCCAGCCCGGGCCGCCCAGGGAGCGGAGCGGAGGCTGGTGACTGGTGTGTCCGGAAGCCTGTGGAAACTGCGTAAGAGGTGATCAGCCGTCGCGGTAGGGCCCCAGCCGGCACTTGGGCCAGTGGCGCAATGGATAACGCGTCTGACTACGGATCAGAAGATTCTAGGTTCGACTCCTGGCTGGCTCGGGCTGGTGCTAACCTTTTTTCTTCTCTGTTTTTTTTTTTTTTACGTTTCATGGTTGTTGTGTGTTTTTTAAAATTTGTCTTCGCCATCCTCTCCACCCCCCACCCCCCCCCACGGAACACCGAGTCCACCCTGATTTAAGAACCGCAGATGGCGAGAGACGGGGTGCTGGGGCGCAGGCCTGCGCGTCCTGGGGTGGAGAGGGGTGGGGGGTGGGGGAGGCCTGGGGGCCCTCACCGCCCTCAGAACCCACCGCCCTGGCTTCCAGAACTTAAACCTATCCCCCTGAAGCCTGGGCGAGCTTTGCACTGCAGGCCCTCAAGCCCTGCCCCTCTCCTCTCACCAGATCCAAGACCTGAGAAAGCAAAACCAAATCAATCTTTTTTTTTTTTTAAAGTCGTCTAAGGCCGGGGGGGGGGGGGGGGGGGGGGGGAACATTGTCCAAAGAGAAATGTATCCTTTTAAAAATATATATATACTCCTTTACTTGACATATGTAACCGTCACTCTCTTCTACATCACCTTTAGAATAACAATTTAAATATATATATACATATGTGTATATATACATATATAAGACATATACATACATATATATATATGTCCAAGGTCGAAAAGACTGGAAATCGGGAAGTGGGTGAGTCATAGGACGTTATTTATTAACCCATCACTCAGGGATTGATCCGTGTTTTGTTTTTTCCAAGATAACCTCCCATGGAGGAAACCATAAAAAATACAGAAAATTACTGAGTGACTTTATTCATGCATTTATTTTATGCATTTATTGCTGGCCCTTGGGTTGAACTCTGGGCCTGGGCACTGTTCCTGAGGCTCTACAGGTTCAAGGCTAGCACTCTACTACTTGAGCCACAGTGTTACTTCTGATTTTCGTTTTTTGTTGGTTTTTTTTTTGCCAGTCCTGAGGCTTGAACTCAGGGCCTGGGCACTGTTCCTGAGTTTTTTTTTCTCAAGGCTAGCACTTTGCCACACTGAGCCACAGCACCACTTCCAGCTCTTTCTGAGGAATATGGCCCAGGGCTTCATGGATGCTACACTCTACCACTTCAAGCCCCAGGACTGGCAATAATAATAATAATAATAATAAACTGGGATAGCGTAGCAAGTTGTGACATTGTCCTAAAAGAAATGTCCTCATTACCTGAGGTATCAACTAACCCCTCTGCACATCACCTTTATAATAGCAATACAAAAATTTAAAGAGAATTATTGGGAATAAAAATAAAGTTGGATGGGCTGGGAATGTGGCTTCATAGTAGAGTGCTTGCCTTGTATGCATGAGGCTCTGGGTTAGATTCCTCAGTACCACATAAGCAGAAAAGGCTGGAAGTGGCGCTGTGACTCAAGTGGTAGAGCGCTAACCTTGAGCAAAAGAAGCTCAGGGACAGCGCCCAGGCCCTGAGTTCAAGCCCCAGGACTGGCAAAAATAAAGTTGGAGCTGGAAATGAGGAATGGATTGCCTGCTTAGCACTCCAATCTGGTTCAAACTCCAGCACCAAGAAAAATGAAGCTAATTCTCATGTGTGTGTGTGTGTGCTGGTCCTGGGGCTTGAACTCAGGGCCTTAGATGCTGTCCCTGGGCTTTGCTTTAAGATTAACACTCTAAACTGGGCGCCCATGCCTCAAGCTTGTAATCCTAGATACTCAGGAGGCTGAGATCTGAGGATCATGGTTCAAAGCCACCCAGACTTGTCAAAGTCCAAGAGACTCATCTCCAACTAATCACAAAAAAAAGCCAAAAATGGCACTATAGCTTAAGTGATGAGTGCTACCTTTGAGCAAAAGGAGCTGAGGGACAACACCCAAGCCCAGAGTTCAAACCCCGGGACCACCCTGCCTCCCCCCCCAAAAATTAATGGAGGCTGAGATCTGAAGATTATGGTTCAAAGCCAGCTCAGGCAGTTAAGTTCAGGAGACTTACTTCTAATTAACCACCTAACAACCAGAAGTGGAGCTGTGGCTCAAAGTGGTAGAGCCCTATCCTTGAGCAGTAAAAGCTCAGGGACAGCACACAGGCCCAGTTCAAGCCACACAACTGACCAAAAAATAAAAGACCACCCCATGAGCCACAGCTCCACTTCCTCCTCTTTTGGGATGCTTCATTGGAGATGACTCTTAACCACTTTCCTGCTCAGGCTAGCTTCAAACCACAATCCTCAGATCTCAGCTTCCTGAGTAGCTAGGATGACAGGTGTGAGCCACCAGCATCCAGCTTGGCTATCATTTATAGAATGTTTAAAACCCCAGGTTTTAAATGGAAATGGAAAGAAACCAAACTAATTTGAGATCTCTCTCATTCATACCCACTCCAGGGGGGGAAAAAGACCTTCAGGAAAATTCACAGCTTGGATCTCTGGGACCTCTAGAAAATTCCTTTATTGTTCATTGGCAACAATATAAAATGTATTTGCAAACACACCTGAATCATCTCCAGTCAAGACCACTTTAAAAATAGCATTTGGAAGATGAGTCACATATACTCAGAATCTCACTCTGCAAACCAATTCTTGGTACTTCCTGAGTTCCAATGCAATCTTCTTCGTTCTGCTTAATCCGAAGGCATTTTGGCAAAGCCAGCGTGCCAAAGGTGACAATAAGATATAAGATAGCCATCTTATAGACTGTCTCTGTATTCCCACCAGCCTTGCCAATGCTGATGAGAAGAAAATCTATTCTATTCCCCGCATGATTGCAATTTTTAGGACCTGGGGAAGCAATCTCTGACCAGAAAGTTCCAATAGAATAAAATGTATAAATTCTTTAACAAAACAAAAATGGTTTTTTAGACAAGGCAATTCCAGGTGTCAGTTCTGTTATTATTCATAGGCACGTACTATTTCTACCAACCCAATCAGTGGAAAAATGCCCGGTTCCAAGGACAGCAGGCACCAGAGAAAAGCCTGAGTTCACCGTGGCTTCAGGGCTCCACTGTCTGTCCTCCATGGCCCAATCAACGCACAGTCCTCTGGCTCTAGGTGGAAGGGGAGGGAGGCAGAGAGGCCGGCCTTTGGGCAAAGTGCCTTTTTTCTTTTTATGGTGGCAATCCTGTAGCTTGAACCCAAGGCCGGTTGCTCTCACGTGGTTCTTTCGATCCAGGCTTGGCACTCAAACCACTTGAACCACAACTTCATATCCTATTTGGGGGGATTCTTTTTCTTTTGGTGATTCATTGGAGTTGAGTCTCATGGACTTCCCTGCCCGAGCTGGCTTCAAATCACCATCCTCAGATCTCAGCCTCCTGAGTAGCTAGGATGACAGGCGTGAGCCACCAGCACCCGGCTATAAAATCAGCAATTTCTCACAGACTGAAGAAGATAGCCGGCATGCTGGCTGAAATCCTTCTTCATCTGTGGTTTGGTGAAGCTCTATCTGTGAGGTATGTTTGTGTGTGAAAGACTGAAAATGGAAATGAGAAAAAAAAAAAAAGGACCAAAAGCAGTGTACCTTAAAATGGTTTCTTCCAATATAGAATGTTTGTGCAAAAAAGTGGGCACGAAAGAAACCTCAGAAATGAATAAGTTATCTTGAGGTGTTTGTGCCCCTCCTTTGTGCTGACTTAGGGATGCCGCCCCCCTCCCCCCCCCCCCCCCCATAAAGGAGCTAGCTCCCAGTATGTGGAGCAGGACAGAAAAAAAAAAAAGCCATCATTAAATAAGCTCCATCCACCAAGCATGGGTGATCAAGATGATCTCATATCCCAAGATTTGTCTCGACAGGAGGAGCTCCAAGTCTCAGACTCTCACCCAAACTCCAAGAAAAACAGCACAAAGAGACGGGCAAGAGTCCTAGCGCCGGCACCAGCTCTTCTCCCAAAGCTGTATTGGATGACAGCAGGTCTGGGCGGAGGGGGGGGGGGCGGGTGGCAGGTGCAGCTGGGCATGACGTCAGAGTATTGGAAGGAAAAGTAAGGCCTTGCTAATTTCAAAGCTCCACTCTGGCTTAATACAAAGCGCCATGTGAGAACTAGCCGACAAGGGCAGTTGAAAAGTCCCCGGCCATTTTTCAGAGGTGCTAAAAGCTCTGGGGGTCCTAAGAAGTCACAGTTGGGGTGAGTGTGGATGAGGGGGTGGGAGGGGAATGCAGGAAGTGAGTGCAGGTGTTTTTCTAAAGGAGGAAAAGGATGGACTGTGTCTGCATCTGAGCTGTCTCCTACAGGAGATGTTCACAAAAGGCACCCATGCAAATCTCTCTCCCCAACCCTAGGAGGTTGTAAACTGCTCCCCAGAAGAGCCACATGGGGTGCAATCGCAGGTCAGAGGTCACACACACACACACATACACTGTAGAATCTACCTGAGTCACCTGACTGGGGGGTGTGGCAATGGAGCAAAAGCGCTTGGAAAACACATGTACCAGGATGGGCAATGCCCAACTCCCTGGCTAAAAAAAAAAACAAAACAAGGCACCCCTTCCCCCCATGTGAGGGTTTGCCTGCCCACCGCTCCCCTCCTCTTCCCTGCACCCCACTTCTACACCGGGTACAGCCCTGGCCCAGGCCCACCAAATGGCTCTGGCTAGAAGTGGTGCTGATGGAGAGGTGCGGATGCGGGGCTTGTGTCCAGCCTCTGGACATGGCAGCTGTGACAGAACAGGTGATCTTCCAACGGGTAGCAGCGGTGCCCATCTTCGTCATTGAGCTCCAGACCACAGTCCTGGGGTGGGGGGTGGGCAGGAAGAGGGGAAGGCGGGGAATGGGAGAGGGAAGTAAAACAAATCAGTCTGCAAGAGCAACATGAAAGGTGGAACCCAACTAGTAGCTCAGGCCTGTAATCTAGGCTGAAACCCGAAGATCATGGCTCAACGTGAGCCCAAGGCAGACAAATCCACGGGACTCTTTTACCTCCAATGAGCCAGCAAAAAGCCAGAAGTGGAGGTGTGGCTCAAGTGGTAGAGCACCAATCTTGAATGGGCCAAAAAAACACAAAACTTAAACTGGGCACACAAGGTCATGAGTTCAAGCCCAATCCCAACACACACCAGAAAAAAAAAGGGGGAGGGATATGATGCTCCCCAGTTCCCCAAAGCAGCAGAGGATGTTGTATGTTTTGTGCAGCTTCTGCTCTAGAAGGTCCATCCAGTATGTGAGCCATGTGCTACCTGTCCCTGCTGAGCACTTGAAATGAGGCAGCTAACTAAGCCATGTTACTGGAAGAAAAGCACAACGGATTTCTAAGACTTAGGGCAAAAAGAGGACCCAAAACAAAAGAACCTCCTTGTAGTTAATGTGGTTTCGGAGAGGATCATGGAGAAGGGTGGGACCCAAGTTTCAGATGAAGCCCAGGCTTGCCTCAAACTAGCAGGCCTCCTCCTCCTTCTCCTCCACAAATGCTGGGACTACAGGCATGCACCACCACACCAGGCACAAAGGACTTTCTATATTGACTACATGTTGAAATGATCACGTTTGGGGTCCATTGGATTGAATGAAATAACCCCACTTGTTCTTTTTTCTTTCTTTTTTGTCGGTAGTGAGGCTTGAACTCAGGGCCTGAGTTCCATCCCTGAGCTTTTTCCACTCAAGGCTAACACTCGACCACTTGGAGCCACAGCACCACTTTCAGTTTTCTGGTGGTTTACTGGAGGATTTCCTGCCTAGGCTGGCTTCAAATCTCAAGCCTCAGATCTCAGCCTCCTGAGTAGCTAGGATGACAGGCATGAGACACTGGCCCCCCGCCTGTTTCTTTTTATTTTCTTCTTTTTCTTTTTGTGCCAATACCATAACTTGAACCCAGGGTGCTGTCCCTAAGGTTTTTGTTTTTGTTTTGTTTTTTGTCGGTTGTGGGGCCTGAACTCTGGGCCTGAGCGCTGTCCCTCAGCTCTTCAGCTCAAAGCTAGTGCTCTACCACTTGAGCCACAGCACCACTTCCAGCTTTCTCTGCTTCTATGGTGCTGAGGAATCGAACCCAGGGCCGCATGCATTCAAGGCAAGCACTCTACCACTGAGCCACCTTCCCAGTCCCTCCCAGAGGTTTTCTTGTTTTGTTTTGTTTTTGCTCAGGCTAACAACACACTAACTGCTTGAACCCACAGCTCTATTTCCCATGTGTTTGTGGGTGGTTCATTGGAAATGAGTCTCACAGACTTCCTTTCCCCAGGCTGGCTTTGAACCACGATCCTCAGATCTCAGCCTCCTGAGTAAGCTAGGATGAATGAGCCACTGGACACCTGTCTCAGCTGGGCAGGGTGAGGTGGAGGTGGGCGGGGCATGGTGGGGGCGTGGCCTACCTCGCAGTGGTAGCACTCCACGTGGTAATCTCTGTCCATAGACACCACACGGACGGTCTCATCAGAACCCTGGGATGGAGAAAGACATACAGACTCCTGTGAGGGGCCTATGGATACCACAGACCATGGAAGGGAGAGGAAGAGATCCTAGGGTAACAGGCCTTAGGGGAAGATGATAAATCAGCAGAGATCAGGATAGCTTGTAAGAAAAACAGCAGAGAGCTGAGAAGAGATGGGGCAAGAGAACCTTCTGGAATGTCAGAAACAACTCTTAAAAAAAGAGCAATGGAAATTTGTGAAATGTATGTAATCACTTAATCTCAATAAAACATTAAAGGCCAGGCGCCAGTGGCTCACACCTGTCATCCTAGCTACTCAGGAGGCTGAGATCTGAGGATCGCAGTTCAAAGTCAAGCCTGGTCAAGGAAGGTCCGTGAGACTCTCATCTCCAATGAACCACCAGAGAACCAGAAGTGGCGCTGTGGTGCAAGTGGTAGAGTGCTCGCCTTGAGCTGAAGAGCTGAGGGACAGCGCCCAGGCCCTGAGTTCAAGCCCCATGACCAGAAAAAAAAAAAAAAAAAGAGTCTCATCGTAGTCTAGCTTTGAACTACGACCCTCAAACCTCAGCCTCCTGAGTAGTGAAGATGACAGGTGTGAGCCACTGATACCTGGTAACAAGCTTTTCTGTTCTGCTGCGAATTCATAGAAAGTAAGAGAATTTAGCCTGTGTGTAGAGACCGATACTGGAAAGACCTGGCATTTGGAGTGCCCACGTGAGAAAGAAAGTCAACTTTATTTACATCAGAGCTGGGGTGGCTGAGATGGTTCTGGAAGATGTTAATGACAGACAGGACATAGAATTTTTTTCTTTTTCTTTTTTAATGGTATGAGACCAGGACTCGAACTCAGGACCTGACACCTTTGCTCCCTGGCTGCCACTCTACTAACTGAGCCATGCCTCCCACCCCAGGACACAGAATTTTAGAAGACCCTCAGAGTGCATCTGAAAAACACCTTACCTCAGGAGGAAGGATGGGGAGCCCACAGGCTGCACACTTGGGGGCCAACACCCTGGAGGAAGAAAGAAAAAGGCATATGATACATCTTGTCTTGATTTGCACCCCCAGAGCCCGCATTGGGTTCCCTCTTGCCTCTGGGTCCCCTGGCCTGCCCCATCCAGCCTTTATATAAAGACTGAGGCCTATTGGGCACTGGTGGCTCATGCCTGTCATCCTAACTCCTCAGGAGGCTGAGATCTGAGGATCCAGGTTCAAAGCCAGCCTAGGCAGGAAAGTCTGTAACTCTTCTCTCCAATAAGCCACCAGAAAACCAGAAGTGGTGCTGTGACTCAAGTGGTAGAGTGCTAGCCTTGAACTGAAGAGCTGAGGGACAGTGCCCAGGCCCAGAGTTCAAGCCCCATGACCAACAAAAAAAAAGAAAGAAAATGCTAAGAGACAGTGAGAGGCCCCAAGTTCAAATCCCAGTCATGGCACAAACAAACAAAAAGAGACAGGCCACGCCCTGTGGAGAATACATTTCAGCACTGCTTTGGGATCTTTCCCAGCTGAAACAAGGCCATCTAGCTGTCCCTCAATCCCTTCTAGGGACAGAATTTTTTTTTTTTTTTTTTTGGGTCCGGTCATGGAGCCTGAACTCTGGGTCTGGGCACTGTCCCTCAGCTCTTTAACTCAAGGCTAGCACTCTACCACTTGAGCCACAG